TAATATACCTTGAGAAACAAATAAAGGAACGCGGAAAAATCCAAGCATTCCTTTATTACTTTCCAGTTTTCATCACAACAGTGCTATTCAAAGCTGGTGATGAAAACTAGAATATATTAAAGGAACACTTGAATTTTCCCGTGTTCCTTTATTTGATTCTCTACGTATATATTTAACTCTTGTTCAAAATATGTATGCCAATATGAAATCTTATCTACTATCAAACACTAATATGTCGGATTACTTCCCCTGCTACTCTGGCGTGCGCCAAGGTGAAAACCTTTCCCCTCTTTTGTTCTGTTTATTCATAAATGACCTGGAGGAATTCCTTACTAATGATGCATCTCTGAGTCTTCGTAATTTTCCAAATATTGATATGAACCTATGTATTTCATTAATGATAAAACTTTATGCAGATGACACAGTAATTTTTGCTGACTCAGCTCCTGAACTTCAACGCACTCTTAACTCATTCCATACATATTGTATCATGTGGCATCTGGAAGTAAATCTAGATAAAACAAAGGTACTTATATTTGGGAGCGGTCTTGCAAAATACTCTAAGCTAAAGTTCTATTATGGAAATACTTTGATTGACATTTTAGATGACTACATTTATCTTGGAGTGACTTTCAACAGAAACAGAAAATTCAATGAAGCAATAAAAAAACTTTCAGACAGCGCATCTAAAGCTATGCTTCGCCTTTTGACAATATCAAGAACCTTTAATACACCTATAGATCGTTTACTGAAAGCATTTGATGTTTTGATTTCACCGATCGTGCTGTATTGTTGTGAATCATGGGCATATGAACATTTACATGTCATTGAGAAGACTCATTTGAGATTTCTTAAACTAGCTATTGGTTTTCGCAACCCTACCCGAAATTATATGGTTTATGGAGAGCTACGGAGAGTTCATATCACCAGGTTCTAGATCTACTTACGTTATCGTGTTTGAAGTGGGAGAACTCGTACGGTAATGGTCTTATAACCCACTCGTGTTATTCCGGGACAAGGAGACCAGCAACTCCATTTGTTTCCAGTCGCGCCTTTCCGTAATCTCCAAAGAAAACTCGTCCCATATCAATGACTCTCATGTGGTCTCATTGACTGCCATATCAGTTACAGTGGTCAGCATCTTTTGCAAAATGTTGTTAACGTAAATAAGAAATATTCATAGAAAGGTTTTTGACGAATTGTTTAATTGATATTATGTCATTTTATCATTCAGATCACTTGGTAATCATGTTTAAATTGATTTATGATCGTGTCTAGCAAATACAGATAAAGAACATCAAGCTGAATTCCTTTTATGAATGTGCGAGAGTATGAGCCTCAGATTTTATCAATCAGGGCACACATTTGAGGTAGAAAAACGTTTTATTATTTTACATAGGAATGAAAATTAAGGGTGGATGGGAGATTGGAAACATACGGACACCCTATCGGTAAAAGGGATTTGTCGAACACTAATACAAAGTATGTCGTTTCTGTATCCTTATAGCAAGGGTTAAGAAGATCATGTTTCATGTCCTGCTCAAAGTCCATGGACTAGCAGAACATCCTCAGTTGTAAATTTGATCTCAGCTGAAACAGGGGTCGGTGATTACAATTATGACAATCTCTACGCAACCATATGGCGAACTATGACAAATTCAACGATCCTTTGTTCTGTTCAGTGTTCAGTTCACTGTTTTATTCATTATTCTGTTCACTCTTAATTCACTGTTCCGTTCACTGTTCTGTTCACGTCCCTGTTCAGTTCACTGTTCCAATCATTGTTCTGTTCACCGTTCCGTTCACGGGTCTGTTCATTGTTCTTTTCACTGTTAATTCACCTTTCCGTTCATTGTTCTGTTCTCTTCATTGTTCTGTTTACGGTTCAGTTCATCGTTCCTTTCATTGTTCTGTTCTCTTTATTGTTCCATTCATGATTCAGTTCAATGTTTAGTTCACTGTTCCAGTCATTGTTAATTCACTGGTCTAGTCATTGTTCAGTTCACTGTTCCAGTCATTGTTAATTCACTGTTAAGTCATTGTTCTGTTCTCTTCATTGTTCTGTTCACTGTTCAGTTCACTGGTCCATTCATTGTTCAGTTCACTGTTCTCTTCATTGTTCTGTTCATTGTTATGTTCTGTTCATTGTAATGTTCTATTCATTGTTCTGTTCACTGCTCAGTTCACTGTTCCTTTCATTGTTCAGTTCACTGTTCTCTTCATTGTTCTGTTCTCTTCATTGTTCTGTTCACTGTTAAGTTCACTGTTCCATTCATTGTTCAGTTCACTGTTTAGTTCACTGTTCCAGTCATTGTTAATTTACAGGTCTAGTCATTGTTCAGTTCACTGTTCCAGTCATTCACTGTTAAGCCATTGTTCTGTTCTCCTCATTGTTCTGTTCACTGTTCGGTTAACTGGTCTAGTCATTGTTTTGTTCACTGTTCAGTTCACCGTTCCAGTCATTGTTAATTCACAGTTAAGTCATTCTTCTGTTCTCTTCATTGTTCTGTTCTCTTCATTGTTCTGTTCACTGCTAAGTTCACTATTCCATTCATTGTTCAGTTCACTCGTTAGTTCACTGTTCAAGTCATTGTTAATTCACTGGTCTGGTCATTGTTCAGTTCACTGTTCCAGTCATTGTTAATTCACAGGTAAGTCATTGTTCTGTTCTCTTCATTGTTCTGTTCTCTTCATTGTTCTGTTCACTGCTCAGTTCACTGTTCCATTCATTGTTCTATCCACTGTTCCAGTCATTGTTAATTCACTGATAAGTCATTGTTCTGTTCTGTTCTGTTCATTGTTCTGTTCTGTTCATTGTTCTGTTCACTGCTCAGTTCACTGTTCCATTCATTGTTCAGCTCACTGTTCTCTTCATTGTTCTGTTCTGTTCATTGTTCTGTTCACTGCTCAGTTCACTGTTCCATTCATTGTACACTTCACTGTTTAGTTCACTGTTTTAGTCATTGTTAATTCACTGTTAAGTCATTGTTCTGTTCTCTTCATTGTTCTATTGTCTTTGTTTTTCTGTTCTCTTCATTGTTCTGTTCACTGCTCAGTTCACTGTTCCAGTCATTGTTACTTCACTGTTAAATCATTGTTCTGTTCTCCTCGCTGCTCTGTTCTCTTCATTGTTCTGTTCACTGCTCAGTTCACTGTTCCATTCATTGTTCAGTTCACTGTTCAAGTCATTGTTAATTCACTGTTAAGTCATTGTTCTGTTCTCTTTATTGTTCTGTTCTCTTCATTGTTCTGTTCACTGTTCAGTTCACACGAGGATTCTGATCAAAGACACCTGTGACGTAAAGTTAATCACCATCTTTTGTGATGTTGTATGACCACCTGCAACTTCCTTGGTAAACGCCTGTAACAAATAGCATCGTTATTAAGATAGTAAGTAATAATGTCTTGCCTGGGCATTGCTGGGTAGACTTATAATGAGCAAATAATCGTCAGTCTCGGATCCTTGTTTAATTGAGTTTATTACAGACATGTTCTGAATATCGTTGGAAGAAAATTTTGGTTATTTGAAACAGGGGTTGTGTAGAGAGTTGATAGTTATCTAACGAGTGTTGTGTAATCAAACTAGGTTATTCAACGATATGGACGTCATAATGCCGAACTTTCTGTTACCACTTCGATGTTTTGAATGAACTCCATTCAAGCAGTTTTTAACCAAAAATGACAACCAAGCAAAACCTTTAGGCTTGTAAATAATTAAAATTCAGTTTCGGTGTCCAGGGATTAGTTAAAAAACATTCAATTAAATATTTTTAATAGTTTATTTTCGTCTATAAAGTAGTTATGTCCCTTTCGTTTAGCTTACATCCGGCAGCGTTTTTTAATCTCTGTGTCTCTGTACCCCAAGTCAATGATGACAACATCTTGGTTTGATTCTATTGTATACTGCCCATAGTAACACTAACGAACAAAATTACCAAATATAAAAATACCATTGTTCGTTACCGATGTAATGTGCTTCCTGATATTGTGAAATTGTCACGTGAAATTTCATCAAGTGTTTGTTCTCATTATCCATCCAGTTCTACCAAGATAACAGTACCCGGTCAGTGAATCAAACTAGAAACTTCAACAAAACACCCCTAACTGCTCCATCAGGGAAACAGAACTTACCAGTCTTAGTTCCCACATGAAGCTGTGCGTGAGAATATGACACGATTCTTGTTGTTTTACGTCGTATAAACCAGTCTCTCAGCTATATGAAAGCTGTCTTTGAATAATGACTCTGCAGCAGGACCCGTTTCACAAAGCGTTCGTAGCGCTACGACATTCTTAAGCCTGTGATAATCTATAGAGTTACGACAGGTCGAAACGTTACGAACGCTTTGTGGATAGAGAACCAGGACCCATCGTTCATAGCACTACGATATTCGTAAGCCTATGATAATCTATAGAGTTACGAACGCTTTGTGGACCCACGACCCGTTCACAAAGCGTTGATACTACATTCGTAAGCCTGTGATAATGAATAGAGTTACGAACGCTTTTTGGATCGTGACCCAGGACCCGTTTGATAAAATGATCTTAAACCAACACCAATTCATAACGTAGATTTATGGTCATCATAAAGACTGGAGCCTCTTTACGGTCCAAACCTTTCAGTGATGGATAATAAGAGCAACGGTCTATGCTTTCTAGTCAGAGCTGCGAATTAAGAGAACAATTAGACATGTCACTAAGCGTTTGTTCCCATTGGTCATTCAGTTCTACCAGACCAACAGTACCAAGTGTACCATATCCCATATCAGACATTATGTTTCATCAGTCCTAACAATTATTGTAGTCCCTTAATGCCAGATAAACCTTTCCTTGAATAGTTTCTTGGTCAGATCTTCGCATGAAAAGATTGCTGAACAATTAGCACACTTTACCTGCATCTATAGAGAGGCCGGGGCGAGAAGACTCTGATGAGAAACTCCATGTTGATTACCGGGATGAACAAGGGACGGCAGCACAAAATATCGCCCGGGGGTGAGGCTGAAGCGGAAGGTGTACTGACGCGCGGGGTAAATAGTACTCCTTCCTTTCAGTATTACAGGGCATCCTTTCTATGAAGACGTGGCTCTCAGTCTCGGAACCTTTTATTACCTATAACGTAACATACAAAGTAGTAACAAAAATACAACGTACGCTTAAAGTGCATCAAACAGGAAACACCTTCAGAGGTAAAGTTTCATGAGACTCCAGAAAGGAAAAAGGAAATTGATCCAACAACAGGTAAGGTAGTCTAAGGTGCCCTTTCGGTGGGACAAATCTGTCAGCATCATATCATAAGTCTTGGGTTTAATGTACGTTGTCAATGTCTGGGATCTCGAAAGATCTGGGATCTGATCCAGAAAGCATTCGTAACGTTACGACCTGTCCTAAGTCTATAGTTGACCATAGGCTTACGAATACCGTAGCACTACCAACGCTTTGTGAAAGTGAAGTGATGCAGGGTCCCGATCCACAAAGCGTTCCTAACGATAGGACATACGTAATCCTATGGTAAACTTTAGAGTTACGACAGGTCGTAGAGCTACGAACGCTTTGAGGATCGGGACCCTGGATTACGTCGGGCTTTCACCATACTGATAAAAATTAACTGGCTCTGCATCAGTCACGTTGGTCTCAAGAAGAATGTGAATAGCTCGAAGTTAGTCAACCCAAATTTGAAACCTGTCTCGTTCTTATTTACCTCAGTTATACACAGAGATTCCAAATGGAAAGCAACAGTTAATTTGAATCAGTGGCGGTGGGGTAGCCCAGTGGTTAAAGCGTTCGGTCGTCTCGCCGAAGATACGGGTTCGATTCCCCACATGGGTACAATGTGTGAACCCCATTTCTTATGTTCCCTGCCGTGGTATTGCTGGAATATTGCTAAAAGTGGCGTAAAACAATACTCACACATGTCATTAGGTGTTGGAATATTGCTGAGTACAGAGTTAACAAACAAATCATTGGTGACAGATGCAGGACACATTTACCCGTTTCAAGAAAACCAAGGATCCCCACATGGGTACACTGTGTTACGCTCAGTTGTAGTTTCCTCGACGTGACATTGCTGGAATATTGCTGAAACTATTCTCACTTACCTTAAATAAGTCGCACCGCATGTGATAAATCCTCTCGCCACGGTCAGCGTTCTGGACGATGTGTATCACAACGGGTATGTTACCTCCTGGAAAACCAGTGTCAATTTGAAAACAAATGTATCGTTCCACTTTGACCGGATATTTAAATGGCTGCTAACACTAAAAGTTCACCCAGATAACCATTCACTGAAAACGAGTGAGTAAGTGAGTGAGTTTAGTTTTACGCCGTTTCTAGCAATATAACAGCAATATCACAGCAGGGGACACCAGAAATGGGCTTCACACATTGTACCCATGTGGGGAATCGAACCGGGTCTTTGGCGTGACGACCGAACGCTTTAACCACTAGTCTGCCCCACCGCCCCTACTGAAAACGGAGAAAACATTGTTTCCGTTTCATTCAGGGTTGACTGGTGAGTAATCGATGAAAATTCAAGGCCGCTTTCAACTTTATCTAAGTTACATGACAGCGTGTCTGGTTAAAGTGGGAGGGAATCCCGAAGTGAGTGGTGAAGTACTCAGTGGTTGAACGCACTTGTGAGAAGCCCAGATGAAAGCTATTGTGTTAACAAGACAGGGTTAACCTCATGGTTTCGCTATCTCTGCGCAACGAACCCAAAACCTTGATTTTATGCACAGAAGATATATATCCTAAGATACTTTTCTAAAAGATCAAAAGCGCCCACAGTAATTTCTTAAACGATAAAGTATACTTTTTGCATGACATCACACTACATTGACGTCACTCCGCCATTCTCGTCTTCCCCCTCATTATCAAACGTATAGTATGGCCAGAAATTATTGAGAATTTTAAGTACAGTCCGAAAGTTAACGGTGTGTGTGTGTGTGTGTATGTGTGTGTGTGTGTGTGTGTGTGTGTCATATCTGTGTTAGGGGCAACGCCCTCTGTGTATTTGAAGGGAATATGAACAGTGAGCGGTACACAGATATTCTCGAGGGACATTTACTTCCATCTGCTCACGTGTTCAATGGAAATGTTTTGATTGTCCAGCAGGACAACGACCCAAAACATCGTTCAAAGCATTCACAGGCCTGGATTCGGACCCAAAGTATGACATTATTAGATTGGCCAAGCTATAGCCCTGACCTAAATCCAATACAAAATATTTGGGGACTTGGCAATATTCCAGCAATATGACGGCGGGGAACACCAGCAATAGGCTTTACAAGTTGTCCCATGTGGGATATTAATAAGAGGTTGATGTGATATCAATGAGGTTGATGTGATATTAATAAGAGATTGATGTGATATCAATAAGATGTTGATGTGATATCAATAAGAGGTTGATGTGATATCAATAAGAGGTTGATGTGACATCAGTAAGAGATTGATGTGATACCAATAAGAGGTTGCTGTGATATCAATAAGCGTTTGATGTGATATCAATAAGAGGTTGATGTGATACCAATAAGAGGTTGGTGTGATGTCAAGTAATTTCAATATCACATAGGTAATCCCTGGTGTTCATAAAACGGGTCAACATGTCCTGCATCTGTCACCAACGATTTGTTTGTTAACTCCGTACTCAGTAATATTCCAGTACATAACGACTGTTTGCATACAACGAAGTGACTGATATCATGGTATCAATTGCGATTCGATGACATGTGAGTGACTGAGTATGGTTTTACGCCGCGTTTAGCAATATTCCAGCAATATCACGGCGAGGAACACCAGAAATGCGCTTCAGACATTGTACCCATGTGGGGAATCGAACCCGGGTCTTCGGCGTGACGCTTTAACCACTAGGCTCCCGCACCGCCCGACATACAAAGAAGCACTTGACCGATGCTGGCAACCCGATTAATTTAGTAGCGTCGTAGGACAAGTCTTGGCGGCTGGGGATCTGTATTACAACCTGAAATCCCAATCGTGATGGTGTGTTATCCACAATGGGAGCGCAGGACAGTTCAAGCACACACTCGTCACACAGAAAGGAGGTGGCCTTGTGGTTAAAGCGTCCGCTCTTCACGCTGAAGATCCGGGTTCAATTCTCCACATGAGTACAATGTGTGAAGCCCAATTCTGGTGTCCCCCGACGTGATATCGCTGGAACATTGCTAAAACTAAAATAAAAAAAATGACACAGTCTGATATTCGACAAGCTGCATAGGGTACTCACTCATACAGAAAACATTCAACTACAGCGGATGCCAGAAAATATTCTTTGTGAAGTATTTACCTTCTCCAGAAAGTGTGAACGCCATTTTAGGATTTCCTAGTCTCTCCGTCAAATCTCGTCCTTGACCCTCAGAGGTCCTTCCTCGCCACTCTCCGAATATCCTCAGCACGTAACCTATCGAACAGAAGTCAAGTGCTACTTAGGCCATGATTCGATATATTTAAACATTAGTCCATGTTGTATGTGGGTCTAGAACTGCAGGTGGTGGTTCTTCTTTGCAAATGTATCATGTTCGTATTTCAGTTGTAGGATTTAATGTATGACATTTTGGCCAACATAGACGAAGACATAGGTACGACAAGTCCGCTTTGCGTAATGTTCAAATGTAGATTGATAGTCTGTTGACCAAATAAATCATTCCTACGAAATAAAACGGAATTCTAAATACCAAGAAGTGAGGTACTATAGACTTGCTCAATCATTGTAGATGTGCGTTGGTCTGGATTTCAGGGTCAGGCAACTTAAAGGGCGGTCACAGCGATACAACAACATCGGAGCAGGACATGAACGATCTCACAACTCTTTCGTACTTCAGAAATGATTAGACGATACCCTAATGCAACCATATCAGTATTGAAAGAATAAAGTAGTATAGATATTTATACAAACGTTTACACACGCACATTAACATGCATATATGGATGTGCACACTCATGCACACACGCATATATACATACACACGCATGTTCATATATACATACATACATACATACATACATCCATACATACATACATACATACATACATACATACATACATACATACATACATACATACATACATACATACATACATACATACATACATACATACATACATACATACATACATACATACATACATACATACATACATACATACACACATACATACATACATACATATATACATACATACATACAGACACACATACATACACACAAACCAACATACACAAACACATATACATATATACACACATACACACACATATATACACACATATATACATTATAGCATGAAATGTTTTTATGAAGAATGTGACAGCAACATCGGTACCCTGACAGAAACACACATCAGAGTCAATCTGTAATATCATAAGGTAAAACAGGTTAACAGATGTTTGTCTTGGTAGTGAAGGAATCATATTGATGGAGATAACATAGATAGACGTTGTCAGTGTATACACCGAGGTTGCACTATCATCTCAAATACAATTATCTATATTTTAAACTTATTTAACGAAACAAAATGTAGAAAGCATTACCATTCAGGAATATCCTGAAGTTGCACAACAGCATGTTGATAATAAGCATATGGATAAACGTTATGGATAACAACTTCTTGTTTATTGCGTAGAGTATCGTTTCGATGTAGTTCTTACACCGGTTTCAAGCAAAAACATGCAAAGCTTGAAAGCGAAATAAGAAAATACATCGAAACTTTGCAACACACAAGAATTTGCTATCCATTAAGTTGTATGCTTTATCATTGACTTACGAACTTCTATTTGGTTCGTTTGTTTAACGAAGGTGTGAATATCCGAGTTAGAGTTGATCTTCAGTAACCCATGCTTGTCTTAAGAGGCGAATAACGGGATCGGGTGCTCAGGTTCGCTGACTTGGTTGACACGTCATCGTATCCCAATTGCGTAGATCGATGCTCATGCTGTTGATCACTGGATTGTCTGGTCCAGATTCGATTATTTATAGACCCCCCCCCCCCATATCGCTGGAATATTGCTGAGTGCAGTGTAAAAATAAACCCACTGTTGTTTAACGCCGCACTAAGCAATATCCCGGTTATATGGCGGCAACAACTTCTAGAATGCTGATCAAACAATTAAAATGTTTATACTCACTTAATGGGTTGGATCGGCCGTCTATGTCAAAGTCCGGGGTCAGGGAACAGATTGTTGCCTGATCAAAGTATCTGATGAAATCATCCATATTCATCCAGAACTCGCCATCTTCATTGTCATGGTGAAGGTTGCTGCCCATCTGGAGGGTTGACCACTCATCACTCCTAGAATAATGGTTTCAACATTCTATTTCTATGTCCACATACACCCATGTATTTAGTTCAATTATCTACTGACCCGTGAAGATCCGGGTTAGAAGTTGTCTTCAGCAGCCCATGCTTGTCGTAAGAGTCGTCTAAAGGGATCGGGCGGTCAGACTCGCTGACTTGGTTGACACATGTCATCGTATCCGACCTGAGTAGATCGATGCTCATGATGTTGATCATTGGATTGTCTTGTCCAGACTCGATTTATTTACAGACCACCACCATGTAGCTGGAATACTGCTGAGTGTGGCGGTAAGCAAGAAACAAATGAATTATCTCATTTTACTGAGTTTACCGTGCACTTGAAGTTATAATTATAGGTATCTACTGACATTCAGTTTACAAACTGTCACTACAATTATTCACATCCCACGACGCAAAAAAGGGTGCACATTGTGATAATAGGTATCATCCTGTATCAAGCCAACAAAATAATCCATCTCGGTATTTCAGTATCAACTCCATCAGAAATGTGATTCTTCATCAAAGTACTATTTAGTTTAGCTCTGCGTAACATGCGGGACTTGACCCTTTCAATAACGTTTTGTTTCATCAGAATCAAGTGAATGGTAACTATATGATAATTTTAGCAGAGGCTTCCCGTTGTTTCATTATTATTTCTCTCAAAAATCCAAGATTCTTCGTTACTTATTAATATTATGGTTATTACGTTTATACCTTGTTATTTTCGTAATTTAGGTTGTTCAAGTTCTCTCAAATACTCGAAATTTTCTCGTTACTTCTGTTTTTCCCCTGTTGTTTGAAAAAATTCAGTACACATATAACTCCATTTTCTCGTGTCTTGGAATTGTTTTCTAGAATTCTTTTTTGACTTTTCTAAAGGAATTTGAACTTATGAAAACATAACTCAAATTTCGAGAAAATAATCAAGGTAATAAAATCAACTCGTGATTTCGAGAAAATACTGGCAGCAATGTTAAGAAGATCGCGATTTCGAGTTCGGGATATCGAAAATAATAGAGATAATGCATAATTATGTGAAAAAACGGAAAATGAATTATGCAACCAGTGTGGCATCTTAAGGTTTGCAACACCTACCTGTCACTCCATTTTCCATGCCACTCCTTGCTCTGATGGCCATGTGGATTACGAATTCTGACCAGCCGTCATGTCGCGTTACCTGCAGGAATCAGAAATGGACCTGCATTCTAAGTGACCAGTTAAGGAATTACCAGGAAATGTTTCGAAACCAGTCTCAGTGTCAGGCACCTACTCGCCAGCACACAAAGTCAGCGATCTAACCCCTTTAGCCATCGCGGCTTCCACAAGAACTGGAAGACGACTGGTAGTGAATCCTTTCAGCCACCGATGCTTCCACAATTGGAAGACGACTGGTAGTGAATCCATTCTGCCACCGCGGCTTCCACAAGAATTGGAAGACGACTGGTAGTGAATCCATTCAGCCACCGCGGCTTCCACAAGAATTGGAAGACGACAGGAAGTGAATCCATTCAGCCACCGCGGCTTCCACAAGAATTGGAAGACGACTGGTAGTGAATCCTGTCAGCCACCGCGGCTCCCACAATTGGAAGACGACTGGTAGTGAATCCATTCAGCCACCGCAGCTTCCACAAGAATTGGAAAACGACTGGTAGTGAATCCATTCAGCCAGCGCGGCTTCCACAAGAATTGGAAGACGACAGGTAGTGAATCCTGTCAGCCACCGCGGCTTCCACAAGAATTGGAAGACGACTGGTAGTGAATCCATTCTGCCACCGCGGCTTCCACAAGAATTGGAAGACGACTGGTAGTGAATCCATTCAGCCACCGCGGCTTCCACAAGAATTGGAAGACGACAGGTAGTGAATCCATTCTGCCACCGCGGCTTCCACAAGAATTGGAAGACGACTGGTAGTGAATCCATTCAGCCACCGCGGCTTCCACAAGAATTGGAAGACGACAGGAAGTGAATCCATTCTGCCACCGCGGCTTCCACAAGAATTGGAAGACGACTGGTAGTGAATCCCTCTGACAAGTGTAAACTGTCACGGTTCCCACGGCCGTAAGTTATGAATACTTAAAGTCATTGTGTTTGTTAGATCGCTGACTTTGTGTACTGACGATGAGTTGCCTGACGCTGAGAGTGTGGTTTCAACTCCCCGATGGGACTCAACCCCACATATGAACTGTACAGAGAAAGTGTCATCCCAATATACGCTTGGCTGAAGCATCTGGTTATTACTGTGAAGGAACCCTACCGTATCTATTCCCTTGAAAGTATAATTAACATACGCGTTTGAATATTTGCTACTTCCACTAAGATCTGCATCCAAGACTTCTGCGATCACCTTTTTGACTATCCCTGGCCGAACCCATGTTACTTGAAAAATTGCCTTGTTGTAGACACGATTTCCTACTCACCACTTCAGCGGCGGTCAGGGAGTAAGCATGCGCTCTAACCAGTCCCATGTTATCTTCGTCTGCCTGTGAACACAAATCTGTATTCACGACAATCAGAACACACATGAGCCATACGGTTATACAGCCATACGCCACGACGGCTATGTTAGTTAAAACCAAAACGGCCAGATGAAGTTTCTTATGATAACCAAAACTGAGAACGGCCAAATGAAGACAGATTAATTTTCTATACCGTGAAATTAGACCAAACCTTAAACGTTTCACTGAATACATAGGGAAATGCTTGCCATTCACAAATACTTGCGCAACAGGCAACAACAACATGGAACTATATTTTCAATCGCTTTAGCCATTTCGACATAGTGCCCAAGAGTGATAGTTTTGACATTATCCTTCCGGGGGAAAAGCCAGGCAATTGCTGACCTACTCAGGTACGGTATATATTGTATGAACAAGCAGAGTCGACAGTACATATCAGACTTTTTCATGAGCATGTGGTTTTGAATCACCATCAACCCTGTGCACTTAAAAGAACCCACGAATCCATTGGCATATGACCAGATGGTGGCCACATGAATACGTGAAAAACATCCAGTTGCGGGTACAGCTGCGTGCAGTAAACTTGGACAAAGTTCTGTGACTATGTGTCCCAGTCCACC